CAATCAGAGATGACAGCTGACAACTTGTCCTCAGATGAGAAAAGAGAAAATCTATAAAACAACACAGCCTTAAAAAGCATTCGCTAACTAGGACCCGCTAGCGCTAGTGTGATCGGTAAATGACAAAGCAACCAGACGGTCCGTGAGGGTGTCGCCGTGTAACAGAACAGAGTGCAATAATTGATGTGCCAAGTGACGATCTTCTGCCGTCGTGAAAAAGGATCGACCGCCGAGTACTTTGGAAAACTTGGTCTTCTGACATGGTTCTTTCCTGGGGTTCCTGGTAACTAAGGTTTCACGGAATTTTCTTAAACCATGAAAATTAGTCATTGATATAAAGGGGCCCTTTGAAGTGATTAATTTGTCGATAACTCATCTATGAGAGAAATATACACATAATAGGTACCTAATAAAGGTCACTTGGACATGAATATGAACTGACTTCTCAAAGATTTCAGAGGAAGGACGACTTTAAGATGGAAAGGTAACCTTACACTCAGCAACTGATTTATCCTTATAGCCTTATACTTGTTCTTGGTGATACAGAAAAAGGTAAGTGTTCTCTGGACTGTTTTTTTAGAGAAGAGACTTTGTATGTGCCTGTATGCCATTAAAAATAATCATTGTAATAATTGTTATGTGCTATAGCTTCATCAGCAACGAACTACCATAATCCTTTCAAAATGTAATGTTTACTAAATACGTCCAAATTTGTTTTTGTTTTTAAGTAATTGTAAAGAAGCAGACCCTCATATTTTCATGACAGTGTTGCTCCCATAGGGAGAGAATGTCAAATGGACTAATAAAAGAAAACAGGATGCTATTTAGCTGGAATGAAGGCCTCCTTTATTGCTGTTGCCATCATCATCGGCTCCCTGGTTCTTGGCTCTCTGCTGTAACATAATATGTATTGTTGATACAGTCTGCAGTTTCTGTACCTTATGACGAACATGGTGCAGCTTTGTGAAAAGATTTTGCTAGCATGGTAACAAGGGACATTGGCACTACATTTAGAGAGTGTGAAATAATTACTCTGGCCATGCCTGAATACCCTTTCATTCTTCTCAACTGAGATATGTAATTTTTCCTTTAGAAAAATCTGTTATGACTATGGCTTCGGTTTTTAATCTTGGCAAGGCTGGCTACGCTTGCTGTTTGAAGATCATGTTTTTGAGCCCATGTGAGTTGAACTTTTGGTGTATTTGTTTTTCCCATTAATGGTGATGGATTTGCACAGATTTAGCCACACAGTGGTTTCCAGTTTCATTTGTGTCCAGTGGCATGGGTTTGCAGAGGTAATGGATTTGCAGCTGGAGGCTCTTGCAAAGCCCTGTGATACACAGGCTACAGACCCTGTGGCCTCAGCTTGATTATCATGGCACTGTACACATGGATATTTCAGAGATGATTAGATTTTGGTACTGTGGATTCTTAGAGTGTTTAAATTTTGATTTTCAAGACTTGCTTTTAAGGAAAACGATATGTATCAAGCTTACTGTTTGTGAGTAGTACCTAGACATAGGAGAGTGCGACGTGTCAATCACAGCCTTTGTGGGTGCTGGTGCAGATCTCATCTGCATTGTGTACATAGCTCGTGTTTAGAAGAACAGCCTAATTCTCTGTGTCATTTGTTGTGTTCAAAAGGAAGTGAGGTGTAACTACTGCCCAAATAGCCTCTGTTGAGGAGCTATTTGTTTACAAGTTAACAAACTGGAAAGGGTACTGTAAGGGAAAGATGTGGGTACTTGTATAATTTAAACTGGTACTACAGAAAGGAAGTATTACTTTCACAAACAAAACACAGTGGGTTAGTCATTTTCCATTTTTGAATGATGAATGTGTCATACATCTGTATCGTGTTTTTCTCCAAGTGAAGGATGTCCTATATACTTAAAGCGAAGCGGGCTTCACTGTGGAGTTGCCAGGGTAACTGACCGGCAAGCAGGTTGCAGATTGCAGACGGGCAACAGAGTGCATGTGAATAAAGAGGTGCACGTGTCCTCTTACAACCCAGGAGGGCCGTGGCGGACTGTGGTTTGGCGCTGCAGATCGCAGCGGTGTTTTTCATGAAAGCAGAAACGAGATCGATGTTCTTTGCCAGTCCTTGAAGTGAGGTGTTCTGCAGGAGTAGGTACGCTTTCATGGTTTTACTTCAGGACCTGCCAAGGGCTATATAGAAAATAAAATCATTTCAATATTTATTTCTTTGTTTGTTTGTTCAGTGTATTTTTAGACAGAAAGAGGAAGGGAGAGAGAGACAGGAAAAAAACCCATTGATTTTGTTATTCCTTTATTTATGCATTCATTGGTTGACTCTTGTATGTTCCCTGACTGAGGATCAAACCCCAACCTTGGCGTATCGCCACAACACTCTAAGCAACTGAGCTACTTGGCCAGGTCTTCAGGACTATTTAATGAGGACAACATTTCTTTTTGCTTATAAGCTAGCTCTCACCCCCTTATGGAAGCCAAAAACTAAGGGAAAGTGTTAGTAATTCATAATGTAAATGGAGGAAGGTAACACAGAAACTGCTACATGCATATGAGAACTTATCACAAAATTGAAATTGAAATCGCATACTGTACATATTTAGTCCATAAACAGGAGACCTTTGTTTACCTCTACAGTGCTTGTTTTGGAACGAATTCATCTATTCACTAGGCGTTGCTAAAGTCATTCAAACATTGCCACATACCTTTTAGGTGCTGAGAAAATCATGAAGGTAAGTAAAATTTAGTGCTGAACTTCAAGGTGTTTTTAATCTCCAGAAGGAGTAAATTAGATAAACTCTGAAGAGATTTCTTTAGATTATTCAAACCATTCCTGTGCTCTGGATGTAGGATTGTGATCTACATGTAAACTCTCTCTTACCTGTAGCATGTAACGACTGCTCCGCAGCAGTTCGCAGCTCTCCGTGATTTGACTCTCCTTCCCACTGTTTCTCCCTACCCTAAATATACCCCAAGGTCTAGCATCACTGGTTTCATTTCCTTCCTTGGAAGAACCCCACAGTTGTATCATGCACACACAGTCACTGCAGAAATTCCCGAATTCCCCATCTCTGCATTTCAGAATCTTGCTAGTACTTTAAAAACCATATTGAATTCTACTTCTTTAAAAAAAAGATTTTAATTGTTTCTTTTTAGAGAGAGGGAAAGGAAGGGAGAAAGAGAGGGAGAGAAACATTGATGTGAGGGAGAAACATCCATCAGTTGCTTCGTGTATGTGCTCCAGCCAGGGACTGAACCCGAAACCCAGGCACGTGCCCAGACCAGGAGTTGAACCGGTGACCTTTCCTTTGTGAGACATTGGTCCAACAGTCAGGGCCACACCAATCAGGGCTTGAATTCTACTTTTTACACAAACCTTTTCCAGCTCTTTCTAGCCTCTGTTGCTCCTCACCATTTCCGCAGATACTGTCAGAGCAGTTCATTCCTCTGGGAGCGGGCCCAGTTAGGTGGGCATTGGTCTCCCACACCAAGTGGTGAACTCGAGAAAGGCTGGGCCTGGGTCCCCTCCATCTCTGCATTCTCCACAGCACTTTGCATTCCAGGGGTGTTATGATATTCAGCTGGTGAGAAATCTCAGATTCTCCTCATGGTTTTTCTGTGATTCATACACCCGCATTTTGGAATGGGACAATTTTCCCTGGTGAGTGAATTGTTCTTGGGTCAAAACTGGGTGCTCTAAATGCCACAGGGAGACCTACTTGTGGACATTCGTACAAAAGAAGTCGGGAAAGAACGAGTCTCTCTATGTACCCAGGTTAAACGTAACTTGCAGTTTCCTTCCCTCCATTGCATAACCTTTGAAGTTATGTTTTAGTAATAAAGCTATGTATACGTGAAGCTACAAGCCAAATATTTTTAGTTTAGTTTTACATTTTTGGCAGCCATCCACAGAACTTGCAGGGACAAGTTTTCAGAGATAAAGAAACATTTTGTGGGAGTTCCTGTTTTTATGCTGAAAAATCGACTGTCAGTGATCTTGCCGTGCAGAGCTTTTAGTTAGTTGTGAGCTTGAAGTGAGCAGCATTTGGGTTCCGAAGGTTAATTACTACATTTACAAATCCATCAGTGATTAAGAGAAATAACTGGCCTGATAGGGTTTATCTGTTAAAAAATTGCAGCCACTAGCCAGTCAGGAAATAGAAAACCCAAAGAGATGGGACAGGTGACGAGGGTAATGGCAGTAATATGTTGGCGGAGACGCTGATATCAGAGAAAAAACAACAGGCGGAGAACGAATCAAGCCCGTTTGGCCATTTCAGTGCACTGCCGTCCTGTGTCTTAGTAACCAGTACATTGTCCAATCTGCCCTACTTCCCTTAAAGCAGTTGTTGGCACTGAGTTCTACCATGTAATTGTTATTGCTTTAGGGTGTAGGATTATACTGCATGAATTATTAAATGTCACAATCGGGTAAAATGGAATAACTCATTTCTAGGAGAGTTATGGGAAATAACACTCAGAAAAAGTATCACTGCATTATTATAAGTATAGATGAAAGTTGCCGTACATATATTGAATATGTACTTTCATGTGCTTTGTGTAGTGAACACTTAATACAGTATAGATTCTGACCATTAAAAATTATTCTTTATATTTGCTTTGAAAAAAATGTAAAAAAAAACCTGTAGCAATTATGTAGTTGGTCAGTTCTTATCATGTATTTTGTGGGTAATAATTTCAACAAAAATTATCATTACAATAAAGATATTATTAATGTTGTCACTACTTAATAACAATTTAAAATATTAAAATATGCATAATTTTGCTTACATAGTATTTAAAAAGTATCTAAAAATGCCAAGTTTAAAGAGTTGTCTGATGCTTTGCCCTAAAATCACTTCCCTTTAAACAAACTTCTTAACAATGTCTTGCATGTTGCTTCAGTTTTCCCAGAAGTTTTTACATAGGGAAACCCTTCGTTACAGTGGAGGTGAATTATCTGAAGTGGATCTCATTATTTGTCTTTTATCTTTCCTCTTCATTTGCAGTGTACACCATCTTCTCGAAGGTGCACTCTGATCGGGACGTGTACCCATCTGCTGGCGTCCTCTTTGTTCACGTTTTGGAAAGAGAGTCTTTTAAGGGAGAATTCCCACCTTACCCCAAACCTGGTATGTCCTGAGTGTGCGGGGAAAAGAGTGGTTAATTTACTAGTTTTTTCTTTTTGTTCAGCGTGCATCATCTAGATGATATGTGATAAAATCTTGGTAACGTTATTTGAAAGGGGCTGGGTGCGTGATAAATTCATTGTTGCAAGATACTTTCCATTTTAAGATTAGAAACTTAATTACAGAAGGGAATAATTTATTTTCAGTTTTAAAGAAAGCATATTTTTGGTTTCCTAGCCTTGAGTTTTGTGCTTCTGACAAATGATCTACCTATATTTACATAGAAATAATTATAGTTGTACAGTTATGACTTTTGATATTAAAACTTGGAATCTTACATAATATGTTGATTTTTAGAAAACTCTACATATGTTATAGAAAATAATGAAATATGGTATTTAGAAAGAGTTCTCAAAAAAGCTTTTTATAATGTGAAATAATTTTATGTAACTTCATAACAATGTAATAAAGATTAATATTTTCCTTAAAGTGATACCAATTACAAAGTCTTATTTAAGTTACTATTGGTTTAAATTATGTTCTGTTGGATTGTCACAAATGCTATGAAATTAATGAAGAGATAGACTAGCAAGAGAAAACATTGAATTATTACAATTATTTCTTAAATAAAAAATTTGTGAAAATTATAGCACTAAAATTATCATAAATATTATTTATTATATTATATAATAAAAAGCATACCTGAAAACACTCATAAAATGTAGTTACACATGTTCTTAATAGCATTCTAGAATAAAAGCCAGTCTTTTCATCAATGATTTTAAAACTGTTTTCGTGTGTGGCACTCATTCTTTACAGAACTATTTAGCTACACCTTTGGAGCAGCCCTCATATGTGAGAAGAAAATACGTGGTTAAGAGCATAGTTTCTGGAGTCAGCCAAGATTAACTTCTAGTTTTACCACTGACTATAACCATAGAGATGTTAACATGGAAAATTACATATTCCATCAATAAAATTAGGGCTAATGATAGTTCTACTTTTTTAGGTATATTTAATAAATCAGATGAAATAGTGTGTGTAGAATCCAGGCACAAAAACAGGGCCAGGCATGTGCTAATAAGTGATGCTAGTATTATTGTTTTTCATTAATGTTGTCATTTTTACAATTCTTTTGGATTTGTAATGTCTCTCTCAACTCACCACCCATTGTTTTATTATGATACTTTTATAATCTCGAGATGTGCCTTAAAATTAGTTTGCTAATGAGCAGAGTTTCATGAAAGGAAAGCTTCTCAAGAGAATGAACACATCAACATGATTACATTTTTCTAAAAGACAGTTGTCTCATTGCCAGAACTTTCTGACTCCTAGGTGACAGAAAAAAAGAAAAAAGGAGAAGAAAATTTCCCCTGAAGTTGTATGAGTCTGCTTTCTTTGTTACATTAGATTTTAGACAAACTAAACAACCAAAAGGATTTTTTCTTTACATGAGGCCCAAATCTCAATTGCCAGATGGATTTGGGGCTTTTGTGTGTATGTGTATATTGTGTGTGTTTTAGTTTGCTACAAAGGGAAGAAAAACATTTTAGATAGAAATATTTTGATTAAAAACTACCAAAGTAACATGCGTGAAAATATCTGACATATCTTAACACTGTGTTTCTCATCTAGGTGAGATTAGTAATGATCCCATAACATTTAACACAAATTTAATGGGTTACCCAGACCGACCTGGCTGGCTTCGGTATATCCAAAGGACACCGTATAGCGATGGAGTCCTCTATGGGTCTCCAACAGCTGAAAACGTGGGGAAACCAACAATCATTGAGGTAATTTCTCAGAAAGCACAAAATTGTACTTTACTTTTTTGTAATTTGGGTTTCAAATGTTGAAATTAAAATTATGTGGAAGTGGTTTTCAGTATTTTATGCATAGAAACACAACTAAATAACATTTAGAAATGTACCATTCCTTTCTGTTCATTTACACATTTTTTCAAGTTAAATGTGTTGGGGCAACATTGGTCACTAAGATCATGGAGGTTGCAAGTGTACCCTTTATGATCTGGGTATTGGGTGGTGTGCCCACCACCCAAAGTCAAGTCCTCTCCCATCACCACATACTTGGGCCCTTTACCCTTTGCTACCCCCCAACCTGCTTCCCTCTGGTAACAACCATGCTGTTTCTGTGCCTCTGACTTTCAGTTTTATATCCCACATATGGGTGCAGTCATACGGTTCTTAGCTTTCTCTGTATGACTTACTTCTCTTAGCATCATATTCTCAAGGTTCGTGCATGTTGTTGCAAATGGCAGTATTCATCTTTTCTTGTAGCTGAGTATCATTCCACAGTATCTCTGTACCACAGGTTCTTTATCCAGTCCTCTATTGAAGGACACTTTGGTCGTTTATATATCTTGGCCACTGTGAATAATGCAGCATTGAACATAGGATGCATATATCCTTGTGAATAAACATTTTCAAATTTTGGGGGCAGATACCCAGAAAAGGGATTGCTGGGTCATATGATAGTGCTATACTAAATTAAAGAAAAAATTCTCACCTGAGGATAATATGTTCATTGATTTTAGAGAGAGAAGAATGGAGAGAGAGAGAGAAATATTGATGCGAGAAAGAAACATGGATCAGTTGCCTCCCGTGTGTGCCCCATTGGGGGACCGAGCCCACAACCTAAGGCATGTGCCTGGCTGGGAATCAAACCCTCAGCCTTCTGGTGCACAAGGCAATGCTGCAACCAACTGAGCCACCTGGCCAGGGCCTATTCTTAATTTTTTGAGAAACTGCCATACTGTTTTCCATAGTGACTGTACCAGTTTACATTCCCACCAGCAGTAAATGAGAGTACTTTTTCTCCATAACCTCTCCAACACTTGTCATTACCTGTCTTGTTGATAATAGCCACTCTAACGGGTGTGAGGTGGCATCTCTCTGTTGCTTTAATTTGCATTTCCCTAGTAGCTAGTGAAGTTGAACATCTTTTCGTATATCTGTTGGCCATTTGTATGTCTTCTGGAAAGAAGTGTCTATTCAGGTCCTCTCTCCATTTTTTATTGGATTGTTTATTTGTTTGGTATTTAATTGTGTGAGATCTTTACATAGTTTGAAACCCTTGTCAGAGCTTCTGTTTGCAAAATATCTTCTACCATTTGGCTGGTTGCCTTTTTTTGTTTTGTTGGCAGTTTCTTTGGCTGTTCAGAAAGAAGCTTTTTAGTTTGATATAGTTGCATTCATTTATTTTTACCTTTATTTCCATTGTCTTTGGCATCAAATTCATAAAATCTTCTCTAAGATGAAGCTCCATAAGTTTAGTTTCTATGTTTTCTTCTATGTAATGTATTGTTTCAGAGCTTTTATTTAGGTCTTTGATGATTTTGGATTAATTTTTGTACCTGGGAACAAACTCCAGTGTAGTCTCATGCTTTTGCATGTGATTTTCTGATTTTCCCAGCGCCATTTATTAAAGAAGCTTTCTTTTCTCCATTGTATGTTTTTGGCTCCTTTGTCAAAAATTATTTGCCTGCACACAAATGGTTTTTGAACTCTGGGTTCTGTTCCATTGGTCTGTGTCATTTACACATTTTTTTTTTTGTTTGTTTCAGCTTTTATATAAAAAAGGGCAGTCCAAATTAGTGGAAAAATTAGGATGTTTAAAAAGAACAGATTACTATAGTGTGAATTCTATTTAAGAGAATAAATTCAAACTTACTGGCTCCATATTTTCACTGAAATACAGTCATTATACAAACATTTAATGAGCCACCCCCATGTCCTCGTGGTCACGATAAGTGCTGGTGGCAGAAGGATGAGCACCAGGTGAGTCTAGAAGCCGAGGCACTGATATGGAAACCCACAATTAGCCAACACTGACAAAACTGTTACATTAAGAAGGTGCTGTGTGATATGGAGTTTCAAGAAAGTAAATAGGGATTCATTTGACAAAATAAAGAAAGGCTATCTTAGGCAGAAGAAAAGGCACATTAAAATATCGAGGGTACTAATGATCACATCTGTCTCATAAGGAACATATCTGAAGAGACAGTGCCACAGATCACTGGGGAAAAGGATATTTACTCATTGATGGTACTTAGACAAGTGGTGAGCTATGCGGCAAGCACTAATTAGATTCTTACTTCACAGGAATGGAAAACTCAAGTTTAGATTGTGGATTTAAATGTGCAAAGCCAAAGTTTAAGGTATTACATGAAAATATAGAAGAACTTTGTGAGTTTAGGTTAGGGAAGGACTTTGTAAATAATATCTAAGTATTTTTATTTAAGAGAAAAGATTCATAAATTTTTACTATATTAAACTTGGAAACTTCTGTTCACCAAAATAAGCCATTAAAAAAAAAGACAACACACAAACTGAAAGAAGATATTTTAAATATGTATATATCTGACTAATGATGGGTATCTAAAATATAAAAAAGGACCCTTATAATCCAATAAGAAAAAGATATGAATAGACATTTTATAAAGAAGAGACATAGATGCCAACTCAGTAAAGAAGCTTACTCTCAAATTAAGATCACAATGAGAATTTTACCCTCAGTCGAGTTCATGGTGAGTGAATGTGGGAATTGGCATAACCACTTTGGGAGACAGTACAGAGTATTTCACATAAATATGCATCACCGTACCCTGTGATCTAGTGGTCCCCCTTCTAGGTACATACCCAAAAGAAATACGTGCAGATGTCCACTTGGAGGCATGGACAGTCCTGGTCATTGAGCAATATTTGCATAGCAAGGCCCAGGAACCCCACAAAGCAGCGGCAACCCAAAAGTTCATCAGCAAGAGAACCGGTGACCGGATTATGGAATAAATAGTCACACAGTGAACGCTTGCAGCCACGATGGCCTTAACCTTGCCCAGTCACAAAGATAAATGTTTTAAACAGAATGTTGAATAAAAAACACCAGTCAGAAGACTACATACAGTTTACCATTTTTATTGTAATGCTGAAAAAAGAGGCAAATTAATATATTCCAAGCATACATGCATTTATAATAAACTAAATTTAAACTGAAGGGGATGATAAATACAAAATTCAAAATGGCTGTGTCTGGTTAGGGAGACAAGGGGCTGGGACAGAGGAAGACGTGTTGAGTGAGGATTCACAGGGGTTCACTGTGTTCTCATACCTTATAACTAAGGAGGCTACAAATATGTACCAAATAATGTACTGAAGATATAGTGCTGAAAATTTAGCTTATCTTTTATCTAACACAAGTAGTAAATACCCATATACACTATATATGGATATATTATTATTATTATTGTTATATCAGTATATAGTAACATTTATATTTTGAATATTCTATTATAAGTCAAGAGTTTTGTATATCTTGAACTAACATTTAATCATATAAATCCACTGATAAATTCATTCTGTAGATATTTGTTAAACGTCTGAAATAGATCAGCTCTACTTTTCTAGAAATGTGGGATAAAAAACGCATGCATGCCTATATACCTGTCTGCTATGAAGGGCTTCACATGAGTGTGAAAGGGAAAATTTGATTGAGAATATTATAGTATTTACGTATCTCATTAGAAGTGATAGTACTACATTTCATTATAGTTGTTTACAATTAAACATTAAATATAAATTCAGATGATAAAATTCTTCCTCCTGATTTGTGAATTGTTATTCATTTCACAAATCATAGCAATCATAGCTATGATATTTAAAAAATAAGAATTTATAAAATTTACAGTTAGATTTGTGATAATTATGGGAAGTTTAGCCATAAAAGTATTGCCACTCGTTTGAAAATGTCTAATACTGCTTTCTGAGTATTAGCTTTGAGATATAACAAATAGTAGAGGATTGATACTTTTTTCTCATTGATAATACTGGATGATGTTTTTTTGTTGTGTGAACTTTTAAAACCATGAGGTTTCCCGAACGAAATCTTTATTACTTTTTTTCATTTGCTTTGTTGTGAACAGTACTTCCAATAGTTCATTTCAATGACTAGTCTTCATTTCAGTGTTAATCTTAATTAACCATGTGTCCCAACAAATACAGCAAGGAAGTCATTAAGAAATCGGACTAATTGTGGAGAGAGTTCTTTTAACTTTGTGTAAAAATATGCTTTTCAGAATATGTGCTTTTAGTCACCTGGCTGGTGTAGCTCAGTGGGTTGAGGGCCAGCCTGCAAACCAAAGGGTTGCCAGTTCAATTCCCAGTCAGGGCACCTGCCTGGATTGTGGGCCAGGTCCCCAATACAGGGCACTAGAGAGGCAACCACTCGTTGTGGACGTTTCTCTCTCTCTCTTTATCCTTCCCTTCCCCTTTCTCTGAAAATAAAGAAATGAAATCTTTTAAAAAGTTAAAATAAGTATGTACTTTTAAGTACTGTTAAGGTTTGGAATTACTCCAAAATTTTGATTTTTACTATTTGTTCAAATCTTTCTGAGTGTAATGGGTTTCATTTAAAGCTCATAAGTGATGTTACAAAACTCTTTGGTACCCATGTTTAAGTGGGCAAGACCTTTCTTTTCAGTCCGAGTCAGTTTGCGCTGCTGTCCTGCCCCAGGGCCAGCCTCAGCCGCAGCCCCTGCCCGGAGGCCCATGCTCGGACGCTAGGACCTGCACAGTGCTTGTTTTTTTTCTTTTTGAGGTACTGCAGACCTGTCTGAATGATTTCCTATCTGTTTTTGAGTTAATTATTCCTTGACTTTTTAAAGCATTATCCTGTTTTTGGCCTTTGCTATGTTTGTTGTTTGCAGTGGCTGTTTCTGAGTTGACTTTGATGTAAGTTCATTGGCTCTGCAAATGTTTACTAATATTTGATCATACAAAGGGATTGATTTGTGTTTTGAGCATGTTCTGTAAACTTTATAGACCATGAACCTTACCGCTTTATTCCGGTCGTGAGATATGATTTCCAAAGGGTCATTTGTGACACTTTTTTTGACTGGTTGGTGTGCAAACAACACAGAGATGTGCTTGTTTTAAAGTGTACTTTCCAGTTTAATCCTTAAGCTCCAATTAAAAGTACAAAAATACATGGTTTTGGTTTTTCTGAAATCTTAGAATGGCACCTGTAAGTAATTCATAATGGTGAATCCATTTACTAATGGTGCATCTGCGTTGCGATTAGCACTTAACGGTCTTCTGTAAAAAGGTCCTTCTGGTTTTAACTTGTTGTTTCAGCATGTTAAATAGACCCGACTAATTATTTATTTTCCCATAATATTGCTAAAAGCTCTGAGTCTTATTGTCCAGAGAAGGAATGTTTTGTAAGTATATAAACAAATAATGAAAATGGAAAGAACAATAATTTGTTTTCATTTTGTCCTCAATGAATTTCATTTACAAAATAACATTTTGCTTCTTTAATATGATTTTCATTTTCCAATAGATAACTGCCTACAATAGGCGTACCTTTGAGACTGCAAGGCACAATTTGATAATTAATATAATGTCAGCAGAAGGTAGGTATGAAAAAATATGTTGCTGATTCCTTCCTTATTTGTAAGAAGAATTTCATTATGCTTTATCTCTATGTAAAATATAGTTAAGTATTTTAAAGTACCAATATCTCATATAAGTCATGAAATAGTAAAATGTAGTAAAGAAAATTAAGCAGTGTTTTATTTGTTATAAAATATCATGTTATTCTATGGTGCTGAAAAGCTCAGGCTAGGGAACCAAACAGGCCAATTATTTCTCCAAGGCTTAGTTTCCTCATCTGTAAAATAAAACTAAGAACAGACTTGCTCTCATAAGTTTAGGATATAGATTCCTTAGATTAGGCTTGAAATGTGCTTAACACGGGGCTCAGCAGAGTGCACCTCAGTAATTATTAGCGAATTTCATTACAACTTATCATAGTTCAATTGTATGTGACGAGGAAGTGTTACTGATGGACAGAAGTAAACTCTAATTTGAGTCAGTCTCCCTCCTAATAGCTGATCATGCATCAATAATTGCTGGAGTCCACCCACAATTGAGTTAATATAAATTCAAATTGTAAGTGACTCCCAAGGATTTGGAAGGACACAGGAAATATTCCAAGAGTTACAGTCTCAAATATTCTGACCCCATTTTGGTATTTAACTGGGAAAACTAAACATCACTGAAAACTTTGTAGTTAAAGTGTATGTATCATGGGGTTCTTTTCTCTACACCACGTATCATTTATGAAGGTAACAGAAGAATGGACATAGTATCCCCCCATACACACCGAAAACAGTAAAACAGTAGTATCGTGGGTAGGGGAATTCTTACTTCTTTACTAGTACAATTAAAAATAAATGAGCAAACAGAATAGTTTATCAGAACCTACTAATTTGACTTTATGATAATTCAGTAAAGGCCAAGTTTCAAATTGCCTCTTACATTATATGAAAGAAAATTTCTATAAAACAGGTACTGCAATACATAATTGGGGAGATTGCCAATCACAGACAACAAATCTGTTAGTTTAAAATGTTAAATGACCTTCATATATGAAAAACAAGTCCAAATGCCAGTTCTGTAGGCTTGGACAGAAGGTTCCCTGTCCACTTTTTCACTTCTCACAGATACTGACTTTTGGATCAGGGAGGCTTCTTGACTCCAATTGTATTGGGATGTTTGCATCCAGTCTAATCGGTCCCTAAAGAGTGGGAATACTCTGAATGAGCAGAATAATTGCAGAGTTTCCTTTCTTCTAAGGACTGCAACAGTACAGTTACATAGTTATATTCCAGTGGGCTCGGACCACCGACCTCACCACTGTGCTCTCAGAATGACTCAAAACCCTTTGTCAGATATGGGAGCCCCTGTGAACTGAAAGGAGGGCTGGTCTGTAGTGTGAACCCCTTCTTTCTCAAGTCTTGTCTCAGTCCTGTGGATACAGAGTCCACAGGCATCCTAATAGGTGTTACTGATGTCGGATGAGAGGGACCCTTGTCCAACCAGATACTAGTGGACGAGTGCCAGACCACCGTAGGACTGAAAGTTGGCTTTCAGGGCTATTTATCTAAAACCTGGGTTTTGAAAGTGTGTTGATGAGAGAGTAAGAATAGATGGGTTTTGGAAGCCTCTACTTTTACTTCAGGCAGAGCTGCTCCACTGCCTTTTACAGAGGGTTCAGAGGGTCCCAAACTGTGAAAACCAGATTGCTAAGCGAGCATGCATTTATCCTTGCTGGGGTAGATGGAATCTCTGTGGCCCGTAGAATGCACATCTTCGAGCACCACCTACTCGCATGCCACTTCTCCCAGACCAGGTTGGGAAAAGAAAGGAGTTGAACATCAGGATAATCCTGCTCAGTGTGACTCCTTGTCCAGCTGCCTCCTGCTTTGAGAGGCCCCATGGTAAACTAGTCCTGTAGACTCACACAGCTCCGGAGCTCATGAAGAGTACACAGAGTGATTCTCTAAATTGGGTTTAGTGCCTCAGAGGCCTGCCACCAATCTGTTGGCCTACTGTTCCCTTGGCCTCTGTGGTGTCCAAATATAGCAGGCATGGGATTTCCCCAAAGTTAGAAAGCTCGAGTGACTCATCCCTGGGAGTCCTGGCAGCCACGCTTGGCTGGGGAGACAGCAGGCAGCTGCCCAGCCCAGCGCCAGGAGGGGCGTGGCTGCAGCCAGTCTTGTAAGGGAGCCACGAAGCCAAAGCCCAGTCACAGAGATGCGGAGAAGCCAAATCAGAGTTATCCAGAAAGGAGCGTTGATAATAAGAAACAAGTTTTGCATGCTTGTGTAGAAAAGTGGGCGTTGAAAGCTCTGAATGAAGTGAGTAGAGGATAGACTTCTAGCATACTCAAAACTGTATGTGGCATTATTTATAAATATTTTTTATTGCCAAGAAACCGTTCTTCATGACATATTTCTGTGCTACTATCTCTCGGTGTGGGGAAAAATGGAGTATGATTAAGCTACTGTTTATCTCTATGAAACAGAAAATGTATCTGTAACACAAGAAAGTTATCTACATAAAAGAGAATAAATATGTCATATTTGAAAAGATTGCAGATGGCCTTTACATCAAACAAATCCAACAAAACCATAAGCAGAATAAATGGCAGTGTAAAACATGAGTAATTGGGGCCTTGAAAAATTCAGTCTTTAGGAAGAGACATCACATTCTAGAAACCTCTCTGGAAAATGGTACAGCCAGACTATCTACCCTGACTTCTCTACAGGCATCAGATATCCTTTAATATTAAAGAGGCTTTGTAAGAAATGCAGTCATTGATATTTCAGTGATTTATGGTATAGTTTTTATTTTTTATTAAGAGGGGAATACTTCATAGATATGAGTTTTAATTAAATAAATCAGAGGGTCTACATAGTACAGTTACTACTAGGAACTTTAAATCTGTGTACAGTGTAGAAACATTTTCTTTTCCTTTTAAGGGAAGAATTTAGGTAATTAACCTATTTATAATATTATAGGCATTGCTAAAGCTTAATATATTTTATAAGTTCTTCCTCTGTACTAGGAGTTCTGCTGAGCACTTTATATTCAGTCTCCTTTAGCTGAGATGCAAATCATACTCAGATGGTGGTAAATTTCTGGCCCTCGTTAAAGATCGGTTTCCCCTTCTGAAAGTATGGAGAACAATACAAGTACGCGCTCACCCCCTCGTTGTGAGCATTAAAGGTGATAATTCACCTCAATCCATTAGCTTGGGCTGCCTCATAGCAAGTATTAAAAAAGCAGCCTTTATTATTATAGAAATATTATTCAACTATTTATCTTAATAGAACAATTAGAATAGGGGAGATGATGGTTTATGTTCAAGAATAACATTTGAGAAACTGATATAAATCATTTATTTAGAGTTTCTTATACTGGGAATTCACATTGGACATTCAGTTGGTTTAAAATATTCTGAAGTCTTTGGAGGGAAACATTGATATGATGTTGGGTAGGAAGAAAGCGAAATGTCTAACTATATGAGAGCGGGAATTTCTTGAGACGTTTAAAATATAATGTCTCCAGAATATTTAATTATGGAGTGATCAGAAGAGGGACACTGCTGTAACTTCAGAATTCTTATTAAAAATATAACCAACATGTATTTTAGTAAAAAAATAATGTTTTCCCGTGCCCTGGAAAGATCAGTAAGCAGTCATGGACTGCATAACATTTTGGACTGCAGATAGGACACCGTCCCATAAGATGATAATGGCGCCAGAACATTCGTGTCCGCTCGTGATACTGTAACGTTGTAGCCCAATGCTCTTTTTTAAATAAGTTGAGTGTAGCCCAAGTGCACAGTGTCTATAAAGTCTACAGTAGTGAACCGTGGTGTCCTCGGCCTTCACTCTCACTCACCAGCTGACTCACCCAGAGCAGCTTCCGGTCCTGCAAACTCCAGTCATGGTAAGTGGCCTATTCAGGTGGACCATCTTTATTTTTTATGCCATGTTTTTAAATGTTATTTTTCAGGTGCAGTTTACGTTAATTGTTACTTCATATTAGTTCCAGGCATATAGCATAACCGTTAGACAGTGTACTCTGTTTTTACCGTACCATTTCTCTGCTCAGAGACACCAGTGCTTCCCACTGTGCTGTAACCACCTGTGGTACCTCGTCTAGTGACGTGCTGGTCCAGTAAAAACAGCACTGCTGAAGGTTGTGGGGATCAAATGAGATAATGTACTCGGAAAAATCTGCTGATTTTAAAATGCTATAAGTACAAAATATTATTCCCGCCCATGTGGAATTCTAGAAGGGCTCCGTCTGCCTGGGTGAGGCAGGGGAAGAGGCCGGCAGGTCACTGTCATGTTGGAAGTGGATTTGGCCTTTTTAAAAACCAAATTCTGTAATTATTAACTGCCCTGCTGTGCCTGTGGGTTTTACTGCAGTGTAGATCCAATTCTGTGTCAAATGTATGTTATGGTTTTAGATACGTCCCTTGTTATACAGAAAGCCTTTAAAGTCAGTATCAGTATCATTTTCCAAAGCCAGGATGATGACAGAAATCAGCAAATCTAGAATTGTTCTTTTGCTTCTCTTTCAAAAAACCACTTCATTAAAGATACCCATACCCTTCTCTTTAAAACCAAAATTAGACTTCCCGTTACCATATCAAGCAGAATTCTTCATTAAAAATATGAATGTAGAAGAAATGCTGGCCAGCGAGGTTCTCGGAGACTTTCTTGGGGCAGTGAAAAATGTGTGGCAGCCGGAGCGCCTGAACGCCATTAACATCACGTCAGCCCTGGACAGGGGGGGCCGGGTTCCGCTCCCTATTAATGACATGAAGGAGGGGTAAGCAGACCTTTATCTCATCGCCTTAAATATGAATTTTTAAATATGATGATCTTATCAAACTTATTGTAGTGGAAGATGGCCTATTGCGTTTTTCTTTTTAATAAGAAATGGGTATTGTAAAGATATGAAAATACTAGCAATTTTCAATATTGACAAAGAGGTTATATTAATGGTTCTTTATATCTGATGTTCCAGGTCCTGGGAAATCTAACTGTAGATTAGGATCAGCAATCATAAATTATAGTGCTAAGTCTTTGTACCTTCCCTAGAGAAACTGATTATTTAGGGTCCGGAATTTCAAAGGAAATTGATGCCCCACTTATCAGCTGTAGAAGGACATGCAGACTACTGTCACTTTATTCTAGGAAACTATTTCTTTGCCTTTAACATTCTTTCCACCATGTGTCTGTGACTGATGGCTGGAGTGGATTTGAAACCCATTCTGAAAGCCTGGCCTTGTCACTCACGAGCTGGATGACACTGGGCACAACCCTGCACTTCTCTGTGTCTCAGCTTCCTCGTTCACTCCAAGGGGGATTTTACTCCCTCTTTAGTTTGTGCTACCGATTAGGTAAAACAATGTCTTCGAAAGAGCTTTGTCTCTTCTCCAGCCTTACAAGTGCAGAGTATGACTCACACTCTTGGAGAGGTTAAGAAATACTCCTGATGCCTGGACAAAGTGAAAGGCTTGAATGTCAATGTCAGTCACACCCTGATCTTTAATTCCTAATCTCTAGGTTGAGGCAGATCTGCCCCCTTCCTTTTTATACCCAATTCTATAAGCATGAGATGCAGAATGAGTTATAGGGTATGTGTTGTGGCGTATCCCTTTCCAGCTCCTCCGTTATCCACATTCCTGTAACGTGTTGACTCAGTGGTATCTGGAATCACCTAGAATACCTGGATTAATATGAATTGAACTTGAGGGCAGCGGTTAAGGAGAACTTTGTCGGAAATAAGGGGAAAGCTCAGAAATAGTCATGGCTGGAGTACAGGGGAACAGGCAGAAGCAGGGTAAGGGGTAAGCAGTGAGCTGTGAAGTCCAGTTTACACATTTCAGAATTAAATTGCACCTTTCATGTTACAATAATGTATTCTGCAGTCAGCCACACACACACAGAAGTGCTTTGAGTAAAATAGTGGCTTTATCACTTGCTTGTGGGGTGGCGTTTTATGTGAAAACATAATTCTGGGGTTCAAATGTTTTACTTCCAAGTTACAACATGATTCTCTATCATCAAGGAAGCACTGTGGAAAGAGATTGGCCAGAGGTAACCTCCCTGAAATCCTTCTCCAGATGGGGAATCTGTCCAATATTTGTTAAAGGAACGTGTTCTGGGACGATGATTAAGACGTTGAGCGAAGATGTTGGTGGGAGCAGCGTGAAAACCAGGCGTCAGTAGAGGTTTCCATGGTGCTGCTCCCACAAGCAGCACCGGGCTTCCTCTCTCTCGTTGGTCGTGCAGACCCCACACGTAGAGACGCTTCTGGAAAGGACTACACTACAGTGGACTAAATAACCCTCTAAACCAAACTCTGACCTAAAACATGCTCCCCAGCTATGTCTAGCCTGAGAATTGCCAGTGAGCGTGTGAGTGAAAATATAGATAGGCTCCCGACCTCTGATTCCCCCTAGAGATTCTGAACCTTCAGTCTAAGCCTGAGTCTGAGCATGTGACTCTAAATTAAGAACAGAATTTTGGTCCTTCAAGTACTTGTTAGAGAATTCAGTCATTAGCCGACTGACCCCCAACACCTGCCAGAAGGCGGCATGTGCTATTGGATATTTGACAGGCAGTTCCTTGGCATTTATTTGGACCCTGTTGTCTTAGATCCCGTCCCAACTTGAAATGCTTTCCATGAGTTTTGGTTTAATGTTAAGCCATAATAACCTTTGCAAAGTATTCAAAAACTCTTTCAAAATAGCATTTCTATAAATTCTACCCAAAGCCAACTCTATTACTACAATATCCCTATATAAGCACTAATGAAATAAGACCCCCCTTGAATATAATTCCAGAACAAAAACTTGTCCCTGGGAATGGTTTTGCATATTTTTTTAGTTGTTGCATAATTTCACACTAACAATTTTTTTTACCCCCTTATCGCCTTAAATTTAGAAATAAATCCAATGTTTAACTCATCTCTCATGGCTTTCTTTCTTTTTAATGGTGTATATCGTAGTTATTAATTCACATAATAAGCTTCTTGCCTCTGTACCTTTTTTTTAACATAACATGGGCTACATATCTCTTTTTAAAATGAAACATTGAAAAGATCAAGAGATAAGTTTGGAGATAGCAAAAACCATTGCATCCCTTTTCTTTCTAAACTTTTATATAAAATATACTCCTACACTTCAGAAGTATTAAGAACCTAAAAATGTGTTCTTCTTTGTACTTAGTATAACCCTGAGTGTCTGATTTTTTAAAAAGAAAATCTCTATGAAACGATTTCCTATTTCTTATGGCAGCCCTAATCCACTAATTGCAGATTTTCCCATAATTGCTGTATGTAGTGAAAGAAACAGTGGATGAGTGGAGAATCTCCCACAGCAGACCCTCAGAGTGAACATGTAGCCCTTCCACAGGCCAAAGCACCGTAAGTGTCGATCATCAAGAACCCACTCAGCGGTATCCCAGCTCCTCTCCCTTCTTGATGTGTGTTTTTCATCTCTGCAGAGCTCATGGAGGGCTTTCAGACTTCTCCTAAATCTAACAGAAAACAACTATAAAGGTTTATGTCAGAGCGAGTAAACTCCTGCAAAGGAAGGCCAAGCCTCCTGGAAAGATTCTCTCTCATTTGCCAGACCCGTAACCCCAGGCAGGGCCACTGTGCTGTCTCTGAGTGTGTGGCCTTGGTGCCGCTTTTGCTCCTGATGTGGAGCCAGAGGCCAAGGATTCTGTGGATGCATTTAGCCTGGGTTAAGCTGCTGGAAAGAGGAGCAGGTTCATATTTCATTCCAGGCATGGCTTAGCTGCCAATCTAGGGTGAATGATGTGGTGTAAATGGTGGCTCTGAAGGGAATGATGGGGTGTGAGGATTAAAGAATATACTCACTTTTTGTAAGAGATTGTCAAACCAACCACTCTTTCCTCTGGTTACCAAAGCATGTGGATCTAGCCTCAATCAGCAACCGAGAACCCCCACGTATTCTCTACAGAGTCTCACAAAAGTACGCCCTTGACTGAATTGTCTGCTTTTTTTGCCCTGCCAAGGCCTCAGTGAGAAGTTCCACTTAGGAAGAGAATGTAAGTCAGTGGCTGCCAAATGCTGCCCTGACTCAAGGTCGTGATGCTGGGCCAGACCCCGGAGCTCCACAGAGTGGTCCCCATGTTCAGTGATTTACAAGATTGTCCATTATTCTTAAGTAATGTGCCTCTGAGATTTTTGCTACAACTATCTTTTCCTTTAGGAAATAATGGTGATACGAGATAGGAATTTTTGAAAAAAAGTGTTTAATAAACTAAAAATCGAAGACCCATATAAATCCATTTTATAAGTATACAAATAAATGAAATCAATGCAAGTAGATGCCTAATATCTATTTTTCTAAGTTCTCTGCATACATTCATGTTTTTTGCCCCTTCATTTATTAAGTATTTTTATGGGGGAATAAGGTTTTAACCTCTGGGGTACAGTGATCTAAAAAGTACAGGCTACGTTCCCAGTCTGTTAGGGTCCACGGAAGAAACCAGATCATTTCACAAACAGTGTGGTACCTGCCACAGGTGAGCACTCCTCCCCTAGGGCAGGCAAATGCCTATAATAGGTTCATAGAGGAGGTGGGTTGAAGTCTGACCTGAGTTGGAAATACGAATACACATTAGCCTGCTCAAAAAACAAGGAAGGAAGACTGTAGGCAGAAGGAAGAGCCCTCAGGCAGGAGAAAGCACAGTGGATTTGGAAACCTCCTTTGTGGAGAGACTGAGGGCAGGCATCCAGAAGTGGTGGTTACTGAGGAGGCGAAGCCCAGGCCCCAAAGGCCTTGTGCACCAGGGAAGGGAGTTTGGCTTTTATCTGGATGCATTAGGCACCTTTGCAGAACACGGCTTGTATTAAAGTTTTCATTTTAGCACGTGGGCCTACTAAGCCCACCACACGGCAAAATAGAGCAAAGCCAAAGGTCTCAAGACCTTTCTGCAAGCAGGAACCCCCCCCAAAGCCAGAGAGGTCCGAGCCTGTGTACCTGACCCCTTTCTGAGAATTCACTCCTTCTCCGGTGGAGAGGAGTAAGCAAGCAGGAGGACTAGAATCTAGAAGTCTCCTTTATTTTGGTTTTATTCTGTATTAGGTCCTATATTTAGTTTTAGTCTTTATATTTTATCTTATTTTTTTATGGATGGACTGAGTGATTGCAGGTAGGCACGAAACAAAGGGGTGGGGTGAGGACGGACGCCTGGTGCGTTTGAGAGCTTCCGATTGCCCAGGCATGTGTAATGTATGTAGATGCGCTCTTCTCTGAAGTGCCTTTTATCCCCTATATGCACCAGCTAAAGAATAAAATACATTCAGTACTTAGCCAGTTGGGTAAAAAAATTTAATCACGGGGTCCATCTGCCTGTTGCTGAAAAAGGCAGAGTTTTAACTTGAATGTTTTATCTGAGTCTCATTCTTCACATTTTATTGTAAAGGCCTCAGTAAATGTATTTTCCCTCAAGGGAAACTGAGTTGTTCAGATTGGAAGGAAAAAATCCCTTTCAAGGGACAAGTTCTGTCTAGTGCTTACCAGTTCCTAGGATTCCGAGGCACCGTGTTCTGATAGGGTTGCCGAGAGCCTTGTCCTTGGTAATACACTCCCCTGTCATCTGTTCACACACACTGGAAAGTTTGAGAACATGTAGCGAAAATTATAAAAGATAAGGATCACCCTCACAAAAAATTCTAACTTCTGCCTATCAAAAAGCCAGCTGAAAGGAAAACAAGAAATTGTGAAAATGTAATTTTAGCATGTATAGCATAGTTTTTGTTACATGGCCTCGTGCAAAATTGTTTTTGAAGAGGCCAACATGTTGAAACTTATTGGCTCTACAAAAGAATCTATATATACATTTTTTTTACCTACAAGGGAATTCCAAAATCTGCTTTTCTTGATAACATTTGTAGTCTGTTTGCATTTTATTTAACTTGTTTTCCCAGTTATTTTGAGATGTAATTAACATGCTGTGTAAGTTTAAGGTGTACAATATAATGACTTTACATATATATTACAAAATGATCACCACAATAAGTTAACATCCATCACCACACATAGCCACACATTTTTTTTGTAATAAGAGTTTTAAAGACTTACTCTCTTAGCAGCTTTCAAATATACAATTGCTTGTGTTTTTAAATAGGTATAATGCTTTTCATTCATTAATTTATTTGGCAAATAGGCTCCCTGAGGGCAGTGAAAAAGACTAGGTACAAGGAGAATTATTGGGGGACTGTCCTTTCACTCCCTGTGGGAAGTGATGGTGACTAGACCCAGGCTTGTGGCCGTGGGATGGAGCAAAGTGGACGGATGTGTATGAGAGTTCTTCCAGGGTCAGTGTCAGAGACGGATGACGGATTGAATATGTGGGAAGAAGGACTCAAAGATGATGGTGCTGGTGCTGGAGCATCTGGCCATGCCAGTCACCAAGAGAGAAGAAGATAGAAGGAGGAACAGGTGGAGGTGGGGTGGGGCGATGATGAGCTCAGTTCGGAACATATTAAGTTTGTGAAGCTTATGGATCATCCAAGTCGAGATGAAAGTAACTTGGCAGAGTGAGTCCACTGTCATAAAAATGTTTCCACTTCTAGGCATCTCATCTAAGATAGTAACGGTAAAGAATATGCACAGACATAGTGTTTGCAGTATTATTTATAACATCAAAAAATTGGAAGCAACTTACATGTCCAGCTCTGAAATAATTGCTGAGTAAATCTTGTGCACTTAAAAAATTATATCTCCATAACACTATAATTACTAAGACTGTACAATATGGAAAATGTTGCTGATGCATTAAGTGAAAAAGGATACAAAGTTATATTTTAGAGATGATTGCAATTAGGCTAATATATATGCATTTGGGAAACATTGGAAAGCGAAAATAGATACCTCGGTAAAATTAACTAATTTTGTTTTATTTCGGGTGTTACATAATGTTGTATGTTACTTTTCAATTTGAGGAAAAAATTAACTTTTCAAAGCACCAAAAACTCATATGCTTATGCCCACTTATGTTATCTTGAAGTGAGTTAGTTTTTAAATTATTAATTATAAATGTAAATCAATGTTATGTTAAAGCAAGAGGAGTGTGGCAAAAATATTTTACTTCTGTATTTCAAATATATTTCACAATTATCAAGGGAAAATATGGTTTTTGCTAGGCAGTTAATGGAGCTTAAAAGTAACTTGTTTTCAATGGAACGTGTTTAGATTCACTGGTCATCTCCATACTTAGTCAATGTTTTCTCACATCCACTTTAGTTCTGAGTTTTTTATTGATCTTATTTTCAGTCTTTTGTATACTGTTAATCTCCCAAAGGCACTGTTAAACTGTTCTTTTAAATGACTTTTAAGTCCAAATATACATTTCACATAAGAGCAACCAGATGAGTTTGTGTAATTGTACTCTGGGGCACAGTGTTCAACTCAGGGTGTGGCTTCATACTTACATTGACATAGCTTTGAATTTTTGTGCTTGTGCTTATATTTAATTTTTAAAGATAACAGTTTTCTTGATATATAATTCACATGCCATACAAATCATATATCTAAAGTATATAACTCAATGGATTTGAGTTTATTCTCAAAGTTGTATAATCATGATCACAATCCATTATTCTCATAATTCCAGCACCCCCTTCTATTAACAGTTACTTAGCACCAACACCCTTGCAGCCCCAGGCAGCCACTATTTATTTGCCATCCCTATAATTTTGCCTGTTCTTGGATATTTCATAAAAATGGAATCATAGAGTATGTGGTCTTCTTTCACTTAGCATAGTATTTGCAAAGTTAATCCATTCATTCTTTTTTATGTCTAATATTCTATTGTGGAAATATTCCACCTTTTGTCCATTCAGTTGATAAGCATTTGGATTTTCACTTTTTGAATATTAGGGACAATGTTTCTATAAACATTCATGAACAAATTTTTGTATGGACATATTTTCATTTCACTTAGGAGTGGAACTGCAGGTCACATGGTAACTCTGTGTTTAACCTCTTGAGGAATTGCCAGGCTGTTTTCCAAACCAGTTGTACTATTTTACATTCCCACCAGCAGAGTAGGAGAGTTCCAATTTCTTCACATCCTCACCAGTACTTTCCATTATCTGTCTTTTTATTATAATGGGTGGGGAGTGGTATCTCGCTGTGGTTTTAATCTCTCTTTTGCTAATGGCTAATGATGTTCAGCACCTTTTTGTGCTCTTATTGGATATTTATATGTCTTCTTTGGAGAAATGTCTGTTCAGATCCTTCGCCATGTTAATTTGGATTATTTGTCTTTTGTTATTGAATTGTAAGTGCCCTTTGTGTATTGGGAATACAAGTCCCCTATTAGATTTGCAAATACTTTCTCCCATTTTGTGGGTTTCATTTTCATTTTCTTGAAACGTGTCCTTTTGAAGCACAAAGTTTTTAATTTTGATAAATCCAATTTATCTTATTTTTTCAATTATTGCTGGAACTTCTGGTATGATATCTGAGAGGCCATTGTCTAATCCCAGGTCATGAAAATTTATGCCAGTTTTCTTCTCAGAGTTTAATAGTTTTAGCTCTTGCACTTAAGTCTTTGATCTATTTTGAGTTGTTTTTAATATAGTATGAGGTAGGGGTCAATTTCATTTGTTTTGTATGTGGAAATCCAGTTGTCCCAGCACTGTATGTTGTAGAGATTACTCTTTCCCCCATTAACTTGTCTTGGCACCTGTGACAAAAATCAGTTTATTAAATATAAGAGTTGATTTCTGAACTTTTAACTCTATTGCATTGATTTTCCTGTCTATCTTTCTGCCATTACTATGTATTTTGATTACTATTGCTTTGTAGTAAGCTTTGAAATTGTTAATTGTGAGTCTTCTGACTTTTTTAAGATTTTTTTTTCTGGCTACTTGGGGTCCCTTGAATTTCCACACAAATTTTAGGATCAGTTTGTCAATTTCTGCAAGGAAGACAGCTGAATTATAATGGGTTTATTTCACTTCATAAGTAGCTGTATAGCATTGTCATTAGCAAAAGAAATAATATTTAATTTAGAGTAATTCCCTACTTGTCTTTATTCTTTTGAAAGACATATTTCCTTTCCTTTTTTAACATTATATTTTACTGATTATGCTATTTCAGCTGTCCCAATTTTTCCCCTTTGCTTCACTTCACTCAGCACCCCCCACTGCCTCAGGCAATCCCCACACCATTGTTCAGGTCCGTGGGTCATGTGCGGATATCCTTTGGTACACCATTTCCTATGCTGTACTTCACATCCATCCCTCTGGTTATTCTGTAACTACCTGTTTGTAGCTCATAATCATCTCAAGCTTTTCTAAGGTTATTTACATGGAAAAAAGACAATAAAGATTAAATGAAAATAACAAAGTATAAAAGCTATTATCAACTTCTCTTTTATTGTGAATCACCTATTGGTCATTCAGGTGGAATTATTTCTCCTAGTTGCTAACATGCACACAAGGAAAATAAATTTTATTTGCTTAGTTTGTGTTTAGCAAACAATAGTTTTTATCTTCTATTAGCCTCAGATAAAAGTTTGAGAGACCGTGTACTGGGAGATCAAACAGTAGGGGTCTGTGGGGTAGAAAAGCTGATAGATGAACTCTTGGTCAGAATAGCGAAGTCTCCTTAAAGCTCCATACCTCCCTTAAAGGGGGGTAATTTCACACTCTTATTAAAATGAATTCAAGGGAAGGTTTCTTACTAATAACTATTTACTATCTTAGTGATGGTGTTATTTTCTAAACAATTTAAGAATAATTTTTAAAGGGAAGTAATGTACCCAATATAGTCATCAGAATAGGATACATACTTGCTTTGAATTAAAATAAGTAGGATAAAAACAATTTTTAGAAGTTAACATAGAATTGAGAAAGTGTATGGTCTACCGAAGCTCTCGGTAAATATTGGCTGAATAATGGAAAGGATAAAAGGAAGCCCCTTCCATGAATCATTGCCTTTAAAACCCAGCCTCTACCTTAGGGGAGATTCCAGATAATCCCCTGATTCAAAAGGATGAATCCTGCTTTCAGGGTGGATTGTTTTTCAGTGTTTTCAATTCCTTTAAAGGATAACCTGAGAGTTTCACAATTTTGCAGCGTTTATGTCATGGTTGGTGCCGATGTCCCATTTTCTTCTTGTTTGCGAGAAGTTGAAAATCCACAGAATCAATTGAGATGCAGTCAAGAAATGGAGCCTGTAATCACGTGTGATAAAAAATTTCGTACTCAATTTTACATTGACTGGTGCAAAATTTCACTGGTGAGTTTTGATTATATTCTGTTTTCGCAAATGTAATTAGAAGTGATGTGGTAGGAGATAACATTTGACTTAAAACCTGAGTTGCTTTTAGGAACAAATCCTGGCTTTGCTTTGTTCACTGAAATGGACTTCTCTTGACTTTAAGTATTTGGCAAGCTTATTGACAGCGTATCCATTTAGGAAAGAGTATCTGCACTTTTGTTCTCAGTCCACCCTTGATTAGTTGCTGGGCAGGATTAGCCTGGCAGGTGGTCCAAATGCTCACCCTGGACATCCAGGTGGCTGCTAAATCAGGGTAAATTATGGAGTCAGTGTGACATGCATAGAAAGTCTCAGATATGCCTCCCCTAGCCCACTCTGGAAGGAGAGACCAGAGTACAATAAAAAACCTGAAAGCAAAACAATATTGTGCTGTGATTCAGTGTCCCAGAAACTCAAAACGTGTAGGGAAAGCTCAAGGGAAGAGAGAACAACTCCAAGTGTGGAAAGTTAGAATCTTACTCACAGCTCCATAAATATCAAATACTTCTTTCTAAACAACTTTTTAAATTAGCATGCTAATAAAAGACTTAGGGAAACATGGGCACGGTTTCATATCTGTGTGAGATATGTATAATGTATGTCCTATTTTTTGATCCTGCTTTCTGGAAGATGGGAAAAGTTGTTTTATTTCTTCAGTGACCTTTAGATTTAACTTCTGTCAACCCTTGATGATTGGTGGTGACTGAATTAGATCTAAGTTTAAAGTTGACATTTGAGCAAAGTCATTGACACATAAACACAACTGTCACCTCATGTCTCAGCAAACCAACTGCAGGCAACGTTCCTGGACCCAGCAGGGGAGAACATCTTACTCACGTTGTAGCACTTAGCACCTGTGGCCCTTGGCCTTGCCTCTTCTTTTTTTATCGCTGCTGTCTTAGGAAAGTAATGCTCTTTCTCTGCCCTCTTAAATCAAGTAAAATCACGAAGATGGCGTGGTTTGTGTCTTGTAAATAAATGTTGAATTTTCCGAGCTCAGTATTTCAGTATGGTGGTAATTGTATGAGGGTCTGAGAGACTTGGCGGCTGTGTTCATCATTTATTTAAATAGATGCCTCTAACCAGAATCCGGAGACAGTGGGCCTAACAGTGAATGAATTCCATGTTCCTTGCGCTGGTGCTGTGAAACGTTCATGTTTCACAGGAATATCATCTGATTATGAAAGGTTTAAAAATGACAAGCTTTGAAGATTTTAATTTTTGTGGTAAGACTTTGTAAATAGAAAGGTTGGAAATTCTTCTTGTTTATTTTACATGTTTTTATGTGTATGTTACATTTTACCACAGAAAATTTTTGGAAGCTTAAGTGAAAGAATCAAGGAATAAATGAGATAAATGAAATATAAAAGGAAAATCAGGACCTAAGTTGTTGTTGTTTTTTAAAGTAAGCCTAAAGCCAAGTTTGACAGCAAGACTACTAATGTCCAGTATTAAAAAGGAAGTTCATCAGTTATTTAATTCCTGTTCTGGAAGGAGGCAAACCATGAGTTTTTGGGCAGAGAATAGCTTTTACTAGCATTGTGTTGTTAACAAAATTCTTCAAGTAGAGTTTTTCGGGAGAGGATACTGAGAAATGTCACAAATACTTCCTAACTTTTTTTTCTTGAGGGGGGTGGCAGGTGTAATAACAAATTTCACATGGCCATTTTTGTAATGGTTTTAAAGAAACCCTTGACGTAATTAAATGCAGCTCAGTGAAAGCACTTCACGTACGGTGGAGGTAAATTAATATAGTACCAATAAGCATTTTTTGATTCTGGGATAGAATTGAGTAAAACGATAGCATTGGATGGGTTACTTGGTCTTCAGACTACCGTTTCAAAAAACTGTTTTCGTCAACTGGATGCCAGAAAGTTCAAGGTTGTAATCATTGAGAAATTGCTTCTCATTTCTTTCTTTTTTGTTTTGCTAACTTTGGAAATCACACCCACATACCTGGTTATCAGCAAGTTTATGGTTTGTTAACATCCGCACTAAAGGTTTGTCATTAGGCAATAAGATATTTACACACTAGTGTGAAGGACTTCTGCTTTGGAGAAGAGAAGCAGGACAACTGCACACACATGTGTATACATACGTGTATATATGTACGAGTACAGTGAGAGAACGTTGAAAGCAGGCCAACATACAGCCTTCAATTTATTGCTTTTACTCATTACTTCTTCCTGGCTGCCCTCAAAATTGCAAGTTCAAGGTGATAAAGTAATGGGAAGAGATTGCTTTTTAGAAATTTGTCAGAGAATGTTTTGATATGTCTAGATCTTAGAATCTCATCCTGTTTGCAGCCATTGATTTGATTTGTAACTGTCTTCTTTTGTATCAGGTTGATAAAACAAAGCAAGTGTCCACCTATCAGGAAGTGATTCGTGGAGAGGGGATCTTACCTGATGGTGGAGAGTACAAACCCCCTTCCGATTCTTTGAAAAGCAGAGACTATTACACGGATTTCCTAATTACACTGGCTGTGCCCTCGGCGGTAGCATTGGTCCTTTTTCTAATACTTGCTTATATCATGTGCTGCCGACGGGAAGGCGTGTGAGTACTTTAAAACACTAATAAAAAATTATAGACCCTACTGAGATAACAATATATAAGATTCCATCAAAAGCTAAGTTTCATTTAATTCATAAAGCCCTTTATCAAGGAGCGGAAATTGTGTTCAAGTCAAACTACAGTACTTTATTCCTTTAAAAATGAATTAAAATAGTTCGGAGCCTAATAAATCAAATGAGGGGTTATAGTTACTTTGTTAAAAAATTATGAAGGCTAGCTGACAATTCATGCTGGCAAAAACAGTCCCGAGAACAACTGAGGCCGGACATTTTGGTGACACAGGCCACCATGAGTAAGCAGAGACTTTGGAATCGGTGACATGGTCGCTGCACTTGAACTAAATAGTCTTAGTTTGATCAGGAGTGATGGTCAGAATTATTGACACTATTCTGCTGTCAAACAGGGTGACAATCTAAATGTTTAAATATATATACCCGTACCCATAAACTTAGGAATAAATTAATGAAAATTAGTCTATAATTTGAATAATGAGTATTCAGTTCATGAATAGTTAGTATGTTCAGGATATCAATTAAAACAATCTCCTGAGATTATTTGGAAGTCAGAGTAACAAAGCCAAGGATAAAAAATGAATAAAGCAGCAAGTAACAAATTCTTCCATTTTTACATGTAGCCTGATGTCATCATGTCGTAGAATTTATTTCCAAGAGCTTGATTCTTAATCTCCTTTTTTTCCCCCCATTTTTCTGTATGTTTCTCATCAGTATTCCATCTCTGTATGTGTACTCATCCAAGTAATGTCATCAGCCTGGTGGCAAATGCTGCCTGGTGGCATTTAATAGTGACAGTGTCAGCATTTCCACATCATGCAAGATTTCATGAGCTTATAGTCTTAATACTCCAAATATCAATGCTATGATTTAATTCATAAATTTTGTTTTGTTTCTAGGGAAAAGAGAAACATGCAAACACCAGAGTAAGTGTCTTCTTTCCTGTTATTTTCTTTATCATTTTTTTTCCACTTCTCGGTTGCTCATCATGCTTCTCACGTGTGCGTCATGCTTTGTTTTCATTGGTCATCTCTCATAGTTGATTTCATGAGTGTGAAAGCTGCTTTCTAAATAGATTTAGGAGGGGTAGACATTAAAAAATAAAAAGAGGGTTTGAAAACTAAGACTATACAGATAAAAACTAAACCTAAAATATTTCAGATTCAGAATATTAACTTGCCATTTATATTATGTGATTTCCCAATCTGCATTTCTATAAACCAGAGAACAGATGAAAAGACCTTTCATACACGTTTTCCTGAATCTACAGTAATAACCTACCATAAAATGAAACTTCTGTGAGTATTTATAAATGCCCCATCAGAAGCAACAATATAAAAGCTCTGGTAGTTTAATCTTAATCGTAGAAATTAAGTAGAATGCTAGTTTGTTACTTAGGGCTGTAATATTAACACAATGCTTTATAGCTTAGTTTAACGAAAGACATCTAATTAAAAATTAGTTTTTACTTTTCAATTTTGCTATGTTAAAAGTATATGAAATGTATCTATTTTTTTTTTTTTGTTTTTTGAGATCACTTGTAGAAAGCCCCAAGTGCAATAATGGCCTCCTACTTTAAAAATAAATTTTTTTTTCCAAAAAAATTTTCACATTGATGACCCGCTGGGATAATACATGATTTTAAATATTTGTTGTCTTATTTCTTTTTGACCTAGCATCCAACTGGTCCATCATAGTGCTATTCAGAAATCTACCAAAGAACTTCGTGACATGTCCAAGAATAGAGAGATAGCTTGGCCCCTATCAACGCTTCCTGTGTTTCACCCTGTAACAGGGGAAATCATACCTCCTCTCCACGCAGACAATTATGAGAGCACTAATATGCCATTGATGCAGACACAGCAGTAAGTATCCACTTGAAACAGTGATTATTAATATGCATGAATGTGTCCAGTTCCTGTTTAGAAAGACCAGAGCTTTTCATTATTGGTGTGTTTTTGTTTTTTTTTTTTTTTTGCTGTTTGTTTGTAGAGAAGAGAAAACACCAAAAGGACATTGATCATGTAGATCCCACCCCTGCTGTGTGATCCAAATTAATAGAATTACTTTCAGGGAGTGTTTGTATTATTTTTCTACAATGATCCACCTTAATATTTAAGAAGTTGACACAGCTAATGAACTACCATATGTCTGCTCAGAGATAAGTTCATGGTGAAAAGAGGAGCTTCTCCTAAAGCGTGACAAAAGATTACTGTGCTTGTTTGTGACTTATCGGTTCAAGCCCTGTTAACAGTGGGGAAAAGTGTGTGATTTAAAACTTGAGTGTTGGAAATATTAATATTCTATCAAGGAAGTAAATATTAGAATCGTAAAAAGTTGAGTTGTACTGAATGGAGGGGGCGATGATTAGTGAGACATCATAAAACCCACTTTAGCAGGTTCAATACTGAGGAGGAGGATTAGTAAAATCTCAATAATATTGTAAGAGTTCACAATTTAACAGTCTGTCCTGCCATTTTTAGAGGAAAAGTATGAACAGCTTTGTCATTTTACAAAATGAAAAGAGTTAAAGAATTCTTTATATTATTTCTCATATTACTTACTCAAAAGTGCTAGTGAAATGTTGATCAATGTTCTTCAAGTGTTGATATATATTCTCAAAAATAAAATGGTCAGATACACTTGAGATGGGTTTGTCTTTAGGTTTTTTTTTAATCAGCAGGGTTCTCAAAGCCTTCGATGTGTGGCTTTGCTTCGTGAGCCCATGGGAAAAAGGTCAGAAGGTGGAACTTTAAAGAAGACATTTGGGGAAATGCTTCTATTAACAATATAACAATAATACCAATTTTAGAATAGAGAATTATTCGTTATGAGTAGGGGAACTTGAATAATATGTTTGTAAATCAGTAAAACTCTATTGCTTTTAAAGTGTAAGGGAGGGGGAAGTACCATTTTTTAGCTGTCCTTGCAAACCATATATGTTGAACATAAGAATAACTCCTTAAAAATTATTTTGATTTCTCATAGGGAGGATTTTGCAATATAAGTAAAACTTAGAATAAAATTTTCTGCCTCGTTTGCAACCACATGCGTCTTCCAGGTCCTCCCGTAACCCCGAGAGGACTGTCATTATGTTGGTCACATCTCTCTATTTGTAAATGCAATAGGTTATTTGATGGAAATTTTTAAGTCCAGGAAACCTTCATATAATTCAGATTTCTGCTAATGGAAAAACTCCATTAACTAGTACTTCTATACAAATAGGGTACATAGATAATTGATGATGCTCACAATGGTTATTCTGAGGCATTGCTAGACCATCAAGTACGTCTGACTCATCAGGGGAAAATTAAATTACATTCAGTGTAGTTTCGCCATTGAGTGTATATTATCTTTCTTCTCGGAAATAGAGAGAATGTGCACAGTCTCTATGGTAACTCCCTAGAAGGTAGAATATGTGATTAACCTCATTTTCTAGCCACACCAGATAATAGGAGATTTATTGTCCCAGGTTCCTCACAGCTGTCCTTTATGCAAATTCAGCTTTCACTCCTTACCTTAAAAGCAGTCCTTAAAGTTCTATTTCAGGACCAAATACACACAAATATATAAATATTTTGGTCATTTGGATTGAACTGAATTCCTAACTTCAAAATGAGATATTTGATGAGGAATCACAGTACTTGATAATTGGGTATGTGCTTGGATAGTGCTGCCTTGGTGCTGTTAATACCCTTCCTAAAAGGGCATGTATCTCATCTTCACCTATTCAGACTCCCTGTCCTGAATTTGTCACTCATAAATAATTTGGCTAACTACTGGATTTTGTGTGTATTCTTCAAAGTTGACACCAGAAATATTCAAGAATAAGGACATGGCTAAAAGTTTATGTTGGTTTCTAAGACTCAAGAACATGAACATTCAAAGCTGCATAAAAGCATATTTGGGTCTTTTAAACAAGTTAATCCATGAGGCATAGAGAACCTCCACATAACAGTGATAGGTACAGAGAATTTATAACAGTTATGTAATGAGGGGCCGTCACAGTTACTTCTCAATTACACAAGTGTTTTATTGTTTGGGGGGCTTAGGGTTTGTTTTGTGGTGGGGCGGGGGCGGTGTTTGGTGTTTTGTTTTGTTTTTTGGTAAAACACTTCATGGGGGGACTCCAGGTTGGCACCGTAAATTAGAAATAACAAATGTTTCATTGTTTGCAGATGATAAAAGTGAGCCACAGATAAGGGAGGAAGCTAAACTGGGTCAAAACAGACTAGATTATTTACCCATCTTGGTGGAGTCAGGGATAAATGCGTGGTCATTGACCTCAGAGGGTCAGCAGGTTCTCTGATTGAGGCTGCAGGCCAGGTGACTAAATAGCGCAGAGACACTGGTGATGGGACGTATGTTCAGAAAGGAGGGGTTTCATTTGCGCAGTGACCCTCTGCTGCTCAGGTGACAGGGACAGTGCAAACAGCCTGTTAAACTGTCACCGGGGAGAGAGCTGTAAAGTACATTGAATTTCATCTTTGCTAATATAGTTATTCTTTAATAAACTTTACTATTTTGGAAGGATCTTTGAGGTACAGACAAGTTGCAAAAACAATACAGAGAGTTCCAGTGTTTTATTATATTTGTTACAATAAGAAACCAAACCTGGTGCTTTGTTATCAGTCAGGTTTCAGACTTTTTTCTCCAGCGTTCCCTGGTTTTTCCCCCGTTGTCCTTTTGCTGTCCCAGGAATCTGTCTGGGACACAGTAATTGGCATGTCTTAGTATTCTCTGGTCTGCACAGGGTCTTACACCTTCTTTGTTTCCACTGGCCGTCAGAATCTTGAGGAGCACTAGCCGCAGAGTTTGTAGAATGTCCCGATCCCTGGGTGTGCTAGTGATCTTTGTAGTTCAGCGAATAGATGTTACCATGAAGAGTCAAAAGTATTCTTTCCCCTAAACAGTCCCTAACTTGTTACAATTCATTGCTGGAAATCACATTATAAAGTAATTCTTAAAAAAGCAAATGTTGCTTTGCCCCCCAAAAATTACTGTTGTGATTAGGGTTATGGTTTTAACCGGAGATTCAACATCGAAAATAGATTACAGGTTTGCCCAATGCACCTTAAAGATAAAACTTGGTAATGATTTAAAGTAAGAAAGTCAAATTCTAAGTCATAGAAATTTAGGTCCGAAAAGACCAACCAGGTCTGGCTTGGTTGTCCCAAGCCAAGTTGAAGGTCACACTCACCTGTGGACCTCTTACTGGTTAGTATAGATCTCGGGGCCCTCCTTCTGGGGATTAAGAATCTGAGGGATAGGTATTATGATGGAGCAGGAAAAAAATGGAGACGTCCTGACTGAAACCCTGAAAGGATGCAGATTTGGGCGTTTGTAAACCAGATTGCTATTTCTGGTATTTCTGCCCTGGCCGGAGGTGGGGATGGGATGTTATTCACACTTTTCCTAATTACCCCTGAGGGGCACAGGACAGTGTGAAAGGGGCAGTCCAGCCCATTACCTAGAGTGTTGGGGCTGTTCGTGGGTTTGTGCTTATCAGCCTCTAAACTTCACACCTCCTTAAACCGCCCGAGGAGAATGGTGTAGAGTGGTGAGAGGTGGGTGCCGATTAGAAAGCAGTGCCTGAGTGGGACAGAGAAACGCTAAACCTTGGAAATCTCAAAACCACTGGGAAATTGTATTCATTTGACAATTTTATGGCAGGCATTGACTGGAGGGTGCCAGCTATTCAGTTTTCTAAAAAATAACTTATTCTTTTAAAAAATATCTCAGAGAGATGGAAAGGGAGGGAGAGAGAGAGGGAAAGAAACATCAGTGTGCAAGAGAAACATCTATCAGTTGCCTCTTACATTTTGCACTCCCCAAACTGGGCACCTGGCCCAAAACCCAGGCATGTGCCCTGGCTGGGAATTGAACTGGTGACTTCAGTTCACAGGCTGACGCTCAACTCACTGAACCACACCAGCCAGGACACGTGGTATTTTAGGGGGTAGATCTGCCTTCCCATTATTTTTTTCTTATACCAACATACAAATCTATAAGCTTTTCCTGAGTGGGAGACATTTTCATCCAGGATTGAATGTAATGCATAATGGAGGCAAGGGCCTAAACACTTTCTAGAAAGATTTTAATTGGCTATACAAAAATTTTCCTTATTCATTATACAAAACATAATACCTAATCCAGGGTAATTGGGTCTCCTTCATAACAGGAGGTAGGGTGGGCTTAATCTTTTGCAAATTAACAAGTATGAAAGTAGAATTAAGTCTTCTAATTAAATATATTTGGTAACTAATCATTTTAGCTTTTATCTGAAGTGTTTTTCCATTATTCCCTTTGGTAATAATAAGAACTAACTTTATGATAAAATTCCATGAGTAAAAAATTAGATCTCAATAAAAGTTAATATCAGTTGAAGAGAGTATTTCAGGGGACCAAGATAATGCTTTCCTGTTGACAAGAAGTGTTAACCACCTAAGGATATTTTGGAGCCATTAACTTTTTTAAAAAAATTCAGTAAGTGTACAGTGAAAGCACTGAGGGCAGTATTTCTTTGATGGGTTTTCTTTCTATAGGTTTGTATGGTATCATTTTAAAGCTGTGGTAGGTTTGCTTTTGGCTTGCTTTAAAGCAGGGCGAAAATTAAAAGAAATAAATGAATGTCTCCTTTCTCCTTTATGCATTGATTTTAATTAAAGTTAGGGTAGGTTTTGAAGTTAAAATTATGCAGATCCAGTTGGTATCCTCCTTCTTTAATCCACACAATGGTGTGTCCCTTAGTTAAACACTAAAAGTTACAGCGTTCAAATCAGCAAGGTTTGGACAATGTGAGTTTGACCGAAATAATTGGGAAACTTCAAAAATATATTCCTGTGTCTTATTGTTAAGTGACTCCATGCTAATTCAAAAGAGAAGTGTTTTGTAGTTTTGTGTTCCACATAACTAAACTGTCATTTATTTTCAACTCTGGCACAGTTTATATAGATTTATACAAATCATTTAACCTTTCTTTGCTTTTGAGTCTTCAAGCAAGTAGGAATATAATGGGTGGATGGATAATCATCAACCTTACTCATAGAATTACCCTACAGGAGATCCAAGAATATCAAATTACCTTAAAACGGTTGTGCAAATAATAAGTAATTGCATACTCCCCCCAAATCATTTATTTATTAATTTGTAAGTTATTACCTTTGCCTTCTTAATAAAGTTTGTGCAATAGCTCATTTACATAATTTTCTATTTAAATGTATGTAACTAATGACACTAAAATTAGAAAATAATTAATGCTAATAATTTAGAAAATTACAGTTTTCTTAAGTCTTTTTTCTATGCAGTGCAGTTTATACATCATAATTGTTCAGTTAGTTTGTTAATAACTTAATTATTCTAAATAGTTTGATGACTTTATAAAGGTCCTTTCTTTGAAGGATAATTGGAATTCTCTTTGAAGTCAACCCCCACTATCCTGTATAATTGCCTTTAAGCAGCCTGCTTTCACTAAAGATGGAAATGGTTCCATTTTCTTACTGAGTTCTCTGCCTCTTAACTAGAGCCAGAGTTTTTCATAAGCGTTTTCCCAATGTCCCGAAGCAGTGCTTTTATGGGGTACCTGTCTTTGACTCTTAAATGGAATACCCACTTCGAATATGCCTATCATAGATACAGTAACACTTTTCACACTCACAGGCTCACATGGAGTCAACAAGTTTGGGCAACCACAAAGACAGAGCTCTGTGCACATGCCTTGGAGACCCTGGGGAAGTTGAATCTGCACATATTTTTTGTTGAGCACTGTTTTGCCCTCATAAGCACTTTCAGGTGGAGCTGAACTTGCAAGGAGTGCATGTACGTTTTTCAGACATAACCATTTGGGACACGCACTGCAGATGCTTCTAAATCCCCAAACCATTGTCGTACACACAGTAGCTTTCTCATACATCATCTCCATGTTTCTTGCTAGCTTGTGTACTTTCTCAACCAACCATTTCTCTTCAAACCTAGCCACGTCCCCATTGCTGTGTGGAAAGTTTAGCAGTGTAACAGAGGAGGTGAAGAAATGGAGACTGGAGAAGAAATGATCGGTGATAGATGATCAGTGTCTCGCAAATCATGCTCACTGACCAACGAGAGGAGCGGTTCCAAGAACTTCATTTAGATACCAATTTTGAATTTTGGTACCCTTCACCTGTGGCTTTCAAAGGGTATTCTTTGTCCTCTTTGTTATTTTTATTTTGTCAGAATACATTGATTTAATCCTTGAATGGACTAGAAAGAGCAGGAGCTGATAGGAAATGAGGAATGGTATGTGTGGGTGGTGGGAGGTGCTGCATGAGTTTCTTAGGTAGAAAAGACGCAAATTTGTTTTACCCGAGAAGTTAAAACTCAAATTTCTGCTGCCCTCCCCACCCCGCAACCCCTGGCCCCCAAAGGCCCGTGAAATAGCATTTTTACTTTTGTAGTAAAGATGTCTGTTTTCCCACCTTTAAATCTAGAACTTATTTCTTTTTGTGGTTTATAAATTAATCTTCTTTACTTTCATCATGAAAACCATTATAAATACTTAGTGTGAAATGGAAAGAATAAACAAACCAAAAGGAAAAAAAAAAAAAACCTTTCCTGAGACCACACAAGGATAAATAGGGCCGATAGGTAATAGTAAAAAGGAATGTAATTATCGACATGAATTATTAACTTCCTTAAATTGAATTAGAATTGATTTTATTTCCTTATTAACAGCATGTTAAAATGGGACTGAAATGTTTTTTTTAAAAAAATCACTCAGAGTCATTAACATTCCTATAGATTAATTTAAGAGTTGAAACAGTATTTAACTAACATGTGCTGTTTTCCACTTTGGATTGTTGTGTTTGAAACCTAATATTTGCCTGGGTGAAATAATTTTAGATCAATGGTTTTCTAACCCCACTTCTTGGAGATTTCTTAGAAACGCCCTAGGGGCCAGCTGGCAGGGCCCAGAAAACAAAGCAGGAAGGATTGCCAGCTCCCTTGTCTCAACGGGGGCAACCTCACATTTATCTCTTTTGTACATGGTGTTCTGCTTAGGATTTCAATTAAAAGGAATTCTGTTGCTGAAGAGAAACAAAAAAACTTTGAAAATCCCTGGCTTGGATCAAACCCTACTCCGTAGCAAGGGACTAACTCCTAGAATTTCTCCCAGACAAATCTATATTGTACATTTTTGTAAACTAACTTGAATATCAAATTTGAAACTAAATGTCATGTGTTACTAAACACATGGGCATCCTGTGAATCTCTGTAAGTATCCACACTGTTGCATGTATTCGTTCAAACAGTATTTATTGCCTGCGTATTGCTGGGGATCCTCAGTGAAATGGGGTGACTGTGCCCGTGGAGGCCTCTGGGGCCACGAGACGGCCACGGGAGGGAAGTGTGCTGAGCGGCGGTGACCTGCTGAGGTGGTGCTTCAAGAGTGAGGAGGCATGGAAGAGGTGGTATTGGAGAGGTTCTTTTTTAATTAAAAATAATAAGTTAAAATTTAGTTCACATCCCTGTGGGTTATTTTTAAATTCTAAGAGTAATATTTGTTCACTGTAACAAAGTTGGAGTTGAATTTGCAGGGACAAGGGGAGCTGGTGGGGGGGCTTGCTCTGTGTCTGCAGTCAGGGAGGCCTCCACATACGGGCCGGACACATTGGTGGCCTTCTGGGGGCGCCCCAAAACCTGGGAACTTGGTTGGCAGGTGGGTATCAGAAAAAAATGAAATGTGTGTTACCTGAACGACATAATCAGAGTTGTATCTAGAAGATTAGTTGACAGCGATGTGCACAGTGAACCATAAGGGGGCAAGAGTGGGAATAAGGAAGCAATTCAGGTCAGTTGCAAAGATCCAAGTGAGAAAAGAGGCTGGTTTTAACTAGGCTTGCCATGGAGATGGGAAAGAAGGGGCCAGATTGGGAAAAATTGAGAAACATCAAGAGTACCCCGGTGATTAGATGTGAGGAGTGAAGGGGAGGGAAGGGCTGGTGATGACTTGTGTATTTTGACTGGCGCAGTTGGGTGGATGGTAGCTGTCATGTCCTAGGATGGGGACTAAGGGGCGTGGATTGGACATAGTGAATGAAGGTGGTTATACTGTTGTTCTGTGAGAGTGTGTGCATGTGTAAATGTGTTCTCGACCTGGATCTGAAAGTGTGCAGGTTACAGACACAAGCCCTGGAACCCTGTGTTCATCTCTTTATCAGCTACTTTCTAATTATGTAGTCTTGGACCTCTAAGCCTGTTTTTTCATCTGTAAACTGGGGGAAGTGATACCTATGTCCTTGGGTTTGTTGTGAGATAGAATGTAGCATGTAGTACCAACTCTATGAATGTTACCAATGTTGTTCTTATTTATCTTCCTCAGACCTCGGTTTCTTCATCCATATACTCAGGGTGGTGGTTTGCTATGTTAGATGATTTAGGGGGTCCTTTCTAGCCATAAAGTTTTTCATTCTAATATGTCTGCTCTTTGATTACATGTCTGTAAGCAAACACAGCTTTACTAAAAGAAAATGTTAATCATTTGTAGGAACTTGCCACACCAGACTCAGATTCCCCAACAGCAGACTACAGGTGAGTACTAAATAAACTGATGTACTCGTAAGTTGATATTTATGAATGAAGTTAATAGATTAAAAGACGATTATAGTGCTGTATCATTTATTGGCTTGAGCTTTGCCGGGTAAGGCAAAAACAATCGTCTTTCCTTAGAGTTAGAACGTGAGAATAATAGATCATTGCACAGATTGGCATCAAAGTGATAACCACAGGGTCAATGATCTTAGGGCAGTAACACCCATGGAGGTCTTGTCTAATTAAGGAAGACTGAATGAAATCCCCTTTTCTCAGTGGAGCTGCCTATTCTTTCCCTTGGTATGAAAGATTCTTAGCTTAGATGCATCCAGGATTTGTCTCAGTAAGTGAGCAGCTTGAAACTGACTCTTACAAAAGGAAACTATTGTGACGAATCACTGAGGCTTCAGGGGGATAAATGAGAAATGGTTGGCCTGTTCTAATGCCACTTTTAAAAGCTGTTAGAACACAACCAAGGACAACAAGATGGTGGGCAATTCTCCCTGGACTATTCTACTTCCCTAAGACTTGCTTTCTTTAAGTTTATTTCTTTCAAGTGTCCCTAAAAAATTTCCACAGCCAATTATTTCATTCATCTCAGCACCGAGTAGATAACTTATTCATGATTGTCTTCTAATTAGTGGTTGATTCTTAATTCTAATTGCCAGGCAACCAGCAATGCCTTTTTAGCTCTTTTGGAAAAGCAAGAGAAGTTTTAAAAATGTAAGTTGGATGTGGAATTCTGAGTATGAATAGTGGTATTGTGGCAGGGAAGCTATTAAGTACATCTCTTTAAAACTTTAGGCACATATAGAAATGTACTGGATATTTTTCATTCAAATGTTATCCTCTCTATTACTGCTTTCGGGAATTTAAGGAGATTTTCGTTTGACAACTTTTCAAAGATTTGAGGCAAGTATAATGAAGTTGTTCATCAGATTTTCATTACAAAGTAACATTTATCAGAATTTCCCCCCATAATTTTGATTACTTGTTTTAATTAAATGCTAACATGTTTCAGCAAGACTGTTCAATATATTGATGTAAGCATTCAGGAGATTAAGGAAGGAACAAACTTTGTTATAAACATGTTATATAAAGAGCAAAAAAATAAATGAATCCCCACTACATCTAATCACGTGGCTTTTATTTTTTAAAGGGGAAAAAATTTAAAGTGTTTTTTTACAGTGGAAATGCTAAAACTTCTTCTTTGACCTCATAGACTTCCATCTCTCCTAAGGTGTCTTTTCTCTGATTCTTAATTATTTCAGGCAAGGAGCTAGTAGAAGGAAAGCAACTTCTGGCAAAGTAGAAATCCTTTTTGGGTATCTTAAAAATCCACATTTTACTTATTTTCCCTTTGGGGAGAAATAAGGAAGCCTGAGTAGATGATATTAGGGAGATTTACTTGATAGTTATATAGATATTTAACGAGGAGATCTGTTAGCGTGCTTCATTTTAGTCCTAGGCAGCATTTGCAAACACAGGAACAGTGTACGCCTGTGCAGGTATGAGAAGAGCCAAAGAATTTCCCTTGAGGCATTTTAGGTTGTTCAAGCTATTTTTAAAATTATTTTTCTAAGTCAGGTTTTTGAAAACAGGCATTTTGCTTGAGTCAAGAAGGCTTTGATCTCCTTTTTAGTTAACACTACAGCCTATACCTATCATCTTGTTTTCTTATATTTTTCTGTAATTTGGAGCATATTATTGACTAAAGGGCACTATCTTCTCATGGTTGTTTTCTTTCTTCATCTTGTTTTTGGTGAATCTTCAAAGTATCTAAGTGCTGAGAGAGAGAGAGAGAGAGAGAGAGAGTGTGTGCATGCACCCACCTGGCATTTTTAATCACTGTGATAGGTTGTTGTGTTTCTGCCTCAGTTAAATGTAAAATCAAATAGAGTCATGTCTCCTGGAGAGAAGAGCTAAATGTGCAGGTTACATTCTTTATTCCTATTCTGTTCATTTGAATGAAAAAAAAAATAAAGTTTGTTTCTTGGTTTCTGAGGTGTTCTGTCCTGTCTGCACACACACGTGTTCAGTGCTGTGTCCGTATTTTCACGGGGACCACATCTCTTTTCCTCTGCCCTGTTTATTGTGGTTCCACAAAGAGGCAGCAGGATTTGTGCACAACTATCAGGAAATAGTGATTTGATTTTCCCAAGCACCTCAGAGGATTGTGCTAGGTGTCACAGTTTCATTGTCTTTTTTATTAAATGTAACGAGGAGACAGGGGTGAATCACACTATACAGTTTTGGGGTTTTTTTTGTGAAGCTAATTTAAGCACAGGGTCTGTCTCTTGGGTACCACGTACTTTTATCTGTAGCTGCCTGTATGGAATTTGTTAGGGGAGAGCATATTTTGAAGTTTGTTTTATTTAGTTGTTTTCTTTTAAATGATCATCAAACGTTTAAGAAATGAACTAGCCGCGGCACCAGGACCCTGGGACGGAGGCCCTGCTGGGATAATAGAGCAGTGAGCAGCTAAGATAGCACTCCCCTTTGGACCAGGCCCAGGCCACTAGGATCGATGCCTCTTCTAGTTTTCTCATTTTCTCAGCACTTCTGCCCCACGTGATATTTTCTTAAAAGCCACCATTAAAAGATACAGTCATACACCCCGCAGTTAGCCGCATTCTTTTGTCTGCTGTGGGAGGAATTTTCAAGCCGTGCCTTTTGACAAACACAGAACATTGTAGCTTTGGCCCAGGAAGGAAAGGACTCAATTAGATTTTTTTCCTTTTGAAGAAATTTTAAACCAAATGCAGAGAAAATATTTTAAATTATGTTAAGATAATAAAAAAATTACCGCTTGTCATGTGTTTTGCTTACAGTCTACAAGTGTCCATCCCTGACTAATCCTTGCCCACATTCGTTCTTACCCATTGCAGGTAAATGGTATCCCTGAAGAAAGAAAACTGACCGAAGCAATGAACTTGTAATGCAACAATATAGCTGTTATATCGCTTATTTCTTCTTTCTTCCAATAATGCATGAGCTCTTTTGGCGTGTGGTGTGCATGTCAACAGTATTAAGTATGTACCAAATAATACAATATAACTTTCATTTTGCTAATGTATTTCTTTTGTACTTAAAGCATTTTTGACAATTTGTAAAACATTGATGACTATATATTTGTTACAATAAAAAGTGATCTTTAAAATAAATATTATTAATGAAGCCTAATGTCTGCTGAAATTTATTTCATAAGGGGTCGATTGCCTCCTTTACAGTAGGAAGCTTTTGTTGCTAAGGAACAGGTTTGTGTGTTCATTCTTTGTTTAACGAGATTTTATAAGCATTTCCAATAAATGTATAAAATGTCCATGCTCTGTGTTCTAAGTGAACAACTCATTTAATTTTTTTTACTGATTTTAGGGAGCGAGAGGAGGGAGGAAGAAAGAAAAGGAGAGAGAGAAGCATCAGCTTGTTGTTCTAATTACTTATTCATTCCCTGATTGTTATGTATGTGCCCTGACCAGGGACTGAACCCATAACCTTGGTGTATGGGCCAGGGTTAAGTGAGCAACCCATTTAAATAATACTTTTATCCTTGTGGCCCAGAAAGCCTGTTGTTTTATATACCATTTCTTTTATAGGGTCAACATGATTTTATGGATGGCAGATTCAATGACCCCCAGTTCTCAAAGGGCAGCTGAGGCAGTATAATTACCTGACTCTATAATCAGAAGCAAACCAGGAACTATTACTCAAAAAGAGAAAAGTTACCTGCTGATGGTGACATGAATTAGCTCCAAAACCCCCAGGCTCCCCTTTGATAACACGGCTGTCAGTGCTTAGCGGAGTTCGCTCACACTATGTCAGTCTGCTTCATGCAGTTGGGATCAGCGTGGCCATCAGACCATCTGTCAGGGCTGCAGCAAGCACCCTGGGCCAGCCACAACACCTTTCCTTACTCTGCTCTGGGCAGGTTTCTACGTTTCCTGTTAACTGACCAGAGAACACACAAATGTTACCTAAATCCGATTCCAAAATCCACAAAGACTCCTGTTCATACCGTGGGCAACTACTCATCAGAGGGAATGTTTAATCCTTGACATTGGAAACCCTGCCCCACTCCTCTTCTTCCTGAGACTTAACAGAGGACATAGGTTATTGGATTTCTTAAAAGTTTATCTCCTATGCTTATGTCTTCTCAAGACAACGAGGGCATTGCTGCTTGCTGTTCTTCAGGACTGAGCATCTTAAAGTTGTAAATATATTGGGCCAGGTTCATGTCCTAGGAGGAAGGAAAGGTCACCATGACTCCAGATGACTGGACTATGGCACCGCCTCTGAGAATTCATGAACTATTGCTCTGGCCGGTGGCACCAAACTGTTCCTGGGAGTCCAAGTGAACAGGAGATACAGTAATACACGATCCGTAAATCGGGAACTGCAAATCAGGGATCAGGAACTTTATTCCTCTGTTCTAGGAAAAAGGCCACTGCAGGCATTAGAAAATGTACTCAGAGTTAGCATCAGTTTTCACACTGATCCTATTGAGGTCTTAAGTGCGGATAAGAAGAATTATTGGCCAGCATCTCGTAAATCTTTGACAAGTGCCTTAATCTCAGCCATTTCCTCTGAAAAAGTGATGTTGCCTCTGACTTTATATTTTGATAGGAGTCCAAATACTGTGTTTTTCAGACCAAAAGACACACCTAGGTTTTAGAGGAGGAAAATAGGGTAAAAAGCTTTGGAAGCAAAAAATGTGGTAAAATGTTTAATACCATAAATTACACGATATTTCACCCATGTAAATGTAAACAGAACTCAACAGCAGCATTAACAACCATTATTCCTCCCACATTTGGGAGGGGGTGCGTCTTATAGTCCAAAAATACAGCCGTTTCCCATTGGTTGTTGCTACCCTAATGGTCCTCACCGTGTGGGTTAAAAAGAATGTGAGGATCCTGCCACATGCAGAGGATTTCTATCCCAGTTAAACATCCCCACAGTGGGCTAATGAATACATGGTGAGTTTGGGGTCTCAGTGGTGAACGTAAATTAGAATACATTTCTTCACATGGCCACCATAAGGCATGGCTCTAAAAAAACCAATCGCAGTGCTTTTCTGCACTTCCAGGATTTTGAGAAAACTCAGATCTAGATTTTAAATATCCCTGAAAAGTTTGTGACTTTTTTTTTCTCCAAGGTATAGTCACCCAATAAGTTACGACTTCTCTTTAAGCAGGTTCGCCTCTGTCAATGCGCACTGGTGACAGAAAAGAGCATCAGATAAAAGTGTTCAGGCCAAATCTGAGTCCTGGAGAATACTTAGAAGATAATAAAGTAGAAAACAATGCCCAGGTGGGATTCTCTGAGGACAAACACAGCAGGTAGTTAGGGTGTGTGACTTCTGGATCAGTGGGCCGAGAGCTGGGCTGTCATTTCCTAGGTCCTGACTATACCCAATTGAGTAGATGAATAAAACCTTTCCAGCAAGCCATTTTAAGATGGAGCTGCTTCACAAATTTGCATTATGGAATACCCTACTAGCTGCTTATGTGTTGCATGCCCGATATGTTAACATGAGTCAAGCCACATTCTCAGGATACCGTGGTGAGACAGATAGAACACAGGCTCCGCCCTCAAGGAGTTTGCATTCTAACAGGAGAGACACGTCAATCAAGTGGTCATGCACATAAACATCAAACTGCAATTGTGATGAATGCTTTGAGGGAGAGTAACTGGTGCTATAAAACCTGATCACAGGGACACTTGACCTAGTCTGAGGTCTGAGACATCCTGAGGAAGTTTGTGTTGATATCAAAAGGATGAGTAGAAATTCATTAAGATTAAGGGCAGTCATAAAGAATGCTTCAGGCAGAGAGAAGAACATAGCTGAGTCCTTTTGGGAGAAGAAATCCTACTGGCTATAGGGTTCTATTAGAAAGTCCAGGGTAGCCCAAGTGTGGGGTACAGGGAGGAGATGTTGGGAAAGTGTTAGGAGGGTGAACCAAGAGGTGGGTAGGACCAAACCATGCATGATTTTAAAGGTAGAAAAAGTCTGAAGCATTTTAAGAATGAAGGATGGTAATGTGTTCATATTCTGCATTTTAATACAATCAATCTAGCTCTGGTAGAGAGAAGAGATAGGGTAGGTTGGCATAGTGGGCATGAATAGATCAGATAGGAGGCTCTTGTAGACACAATGGAAAAAATAGTACCTTTGATTAGAATAGTGGTGGAAGAGATGGAGAGAACAGACAGATTCAGGAGCAATTAAGGAGAATAACAAAAACAGCTGGTACACCGATACTTGAAAGGGTGTTAAGGGAAAGACAGGGGTTTAATGCTGATTCCGGCAGGTGGGGTCCAAATGGTTCAGTCCATTGGAATAGGAGATAATACTATAGATGATTTTGTGGGAGGATTTTACATACAAGAAGCCAAAACAGAAAAGTGCCTATGTTTTTGAAAAAAAATTTCCCTTAGTTTTATTGAGATATAACTTGCATATAACATTGTATAAATTTAACATGTACAATATAATAATTTGATACATTTATATATTGTGGAATGATTACCACAAGTTTAGATAACATACATCACCTCACATAGTTACCAAGATTTTTTTCTTGTGGTGAGAACACTTAAGATCTATTCTTAGCAGTTATCAAATATACAATACAGTATTACCATCCCTGGAACTAATTTATCTTATAACTAGAAGGTTATACCTTTCAGCCCCCTTCACCCATTTCTTCCAACCCCACCCCTTTCTCTGGCAACCACAAATCTGATCTCTGTTTCTAAGAGTTTGATGTTTTCAGATTCCACATATGAGATCATATAGCATTTGTCTTTGACTTTTTTCACTTAGCACAATGCCTTCACAGGCCACTCATGTTGTTGCAAATGGCAGAATTTCCTTCTTTTTGGCTGAATAGTATTTCATTATCTAATTCGAAATATTCACTGAGCACTTACATATGCCAAAGATGGGTGTAGGTGCTGGGAATGTGGTTGTGAAAGACCAGGGCCAGTCTTAAAAGTGGATTGTACTGGATCAGAAAAATCTGTCCCTTAATGACACCCAGGTGAGTCTTCTGTCGTCTCCTGTGTGCCATTTTCAAACAATACACAATTGCTTTCTAAGAAAAGTTGGGAATGAAGTTGATTTTGTTTATAAATTCACAAAAAGCAGCAATACAACAGAAATATTGAATATGTCCTCACCCCAAAATATTCATTTGGGAGGTGATTCCAGGAAGCTAGAGGGCGTAAGCAGAGAGAGGATGTTAGGGGTTCTGAAGGAAAGCCAGCGAAAGGTACATCACTGATCTGGCTATCACTCCGGAAAGCAGAAAGTCCTACTACAAATCCTCTCATATATTGCGTAGGATGCTCTTCAGAATTTCCCCTCCAAGTAACGGGACAATGAGACTTTCATCCAATGACTCACCATCCTAGAGTCAAGAGTTGCTCCACCAGGCATTAACGCCCCTGCACGTTGGGCTTTGGTTAGGAGCAGGATGACAAGATCCCAGTGCTCTGAGGAAAACTGGCACAGAGCAGCTGGGAGGTGCTGTGGAGACTAGAGGTGAGCAATTCAGACAGAAAGCTAAATAAGCTATTAGCAAAATGTCTTGATAAAGGGACATTGCTGGATTTTGCATAGCTTTCATTGACATACAATGTTAAAAAGCAATTACTGTATCGCTACTTCTTCTTAGTTGACGTTTCCCATTGCAGCGGGAGGAAGTCAACTCGTGATATACATGAGGTTAAGATATAAGGCAGAATTGCTTGATGAGGCATTTTGCTCAATCACTGGAAACTCATACCATGAGGGGGTTGATTTTTCATTTAGGGAAAAATTATTCATGAGCTGTGTCAATGTGACAAATGTATCCCTGAGTACATAGTTGCTCGATGCAGCAAAAGTTTACTAGTCACTGGTAGCCCAGGGCAGTCAGGCCAGCCTTCCTCCATGGTGAATGTGGAATGATCTGGAACACGTGACATCCAAGATTTCTATGGGAAACAAAGTGAGAGCTGTGGGGTCATGTGGAATGTTTTTAGGAGCTTCGCTTCAGAATGTCGTCTGTCACTTTCATCTATGCTCCTTTGGCTGGTAATGTCATGTTCCCCAAACATAATTGCTATGGATGCTGTGAAACATAATCTTCCTGTGGACTCAGGAAGAGGAAAATAGTGCGGTGACC